GGAAAGAGATAGGGACAGGGACCGGGATAGGGATAGAGATAGGGACAGGGACCGAGACCGTTATCGTCTTAGAGATGAAAAGGATTATGGTCGTGATAGGGATCGAGATCGGGATTGGGAAGGTAGAGATCGGGAGAGGAGAGACAGAGACCGTGGTCGTCGTCGGAGTCATTCGAGGAGCCGAAGTAGGAGTAGGGATCGCAAGGATCGGGATGGTGGGGATCATCGCAAGAGACATCGCAGTAGCATCAGTCCCAGAAGACGGGATGGAGCTGAGGACAATAGCACTAGGGAAGAGGTGAAGAAGAAGAAAGAAAAGAAGGAGAAGAAGGACGACGGGACAGACCATCCAGATCCAGAAATTGCAGAAGCGAACAGGCTCCGGGCATCTCTGGGTTTGAAGCCCCTTAAGGTTTAGCTAAAGTGCTGTTTGACTATTTTAAAGGTGTGTGGACTTATTGATAAGCATATATTCTAGAACATGCATTCCTTGGATTACACTGCTGCATTATGTTCAAATGTTGCATTTTTCTTACTATGAGCTCCGTATATGTTTAGAATCACAAATGCTTCTTCAGTGCCAGATTTACCTGACAGTTTACTCTTCGATTGATATGGCAATGCAGGAAATTTGACGGCTGTAATTTCGTTATAATGAATTTGTATATCTTTTCAGTTACAAATCTTAACTTAATTCTTATGCCGCTACAGTACCACAGATGGAATTTAAGTACTTTTACAGTTCCTCGCCATGGTCAGAGTAAACACAGAAAACCGGAGCAGATTAGTTAATTGATGTATGAAATATAGGAATGATGCAAACAAAGTATTTTCATTTTATTACAATAAAAAAATAAAAGAAAATTCTACTTTAGAATAGAAAAGGGGGAAAATGTTCACAAAAGAATTGCATCGTAAAAGTTGCTTAATTCAAGGAAGCTCCTCAGGTATCAAAATGCTATCTTTATCATATTGAAGAGTACCAGAAATGTTCAATGGCTTGCACTTCCTCCCTATTAGGATCCTCTTCTTGCATAGCTCCAAACTCTCTCCTCCTCCTTTCGTAGCTTTAATGCGTTTGAGCTCTGAACCCTCCTTACCAAACGCCTTCCTCAGGGGCCCTATCCTTTTCCATCTCCACCTCCTCTGGGGCAGCAGGACTTTGGATGAAACCTTGATCAACATTCTCGAACTTTCCCGCTTCCCAATCACTGTCATGCCAGTAGGAAAATTACCATCTGCAATGCAAACGTGTTCGCCACAATGACCAAAAGCGTTGGTGTTACGCTCGGTTTTGTTGCTTTTGTCTTGGATGAAGCCGAAAACCTTTGTTCTCATATCACTTTCCGAATCACCTAAGCCATGACCACGGACTGGTGACTTCTTGTTGCCGAAGGCATTGGTGAAGATGGAAAGCACTTTTCTCCGAAAAAGGTGCTTTTTGGGGTTGGTCCTTTTGTAGCCATGAAGTTGTTTTTGCATGATCTTGGCAAGTAACTTGGGAATTTTGATGCTTATTTTGCGCTGAGAGATTGTAATGGTAATGAAGTATGAGTTTGGAGAGTCTTTTGGTGGAGTTCTCGGGTCTCTTAACGGGACCACAGGCGTACGAGTGAGAGATGTTCTTCCTCTCATTTTTCAGTCAGCTACGAAGTAGTGCTTTTTGTTGTTTTGGCCTTGAAAATAATTATGTAGAGGAAAGAGTTTGATGAATCTTGAAATGCTGGGTTATATAGAGGAAAAAAAAAGGGGGAATAATGGGTTGAGTTTCTTTAAAAGTAAAATAAAACTAAAAATAAAAAATAGTGGGTTGAAACGTGGGTGTAAAGTGGAGGAAGAGGTTGTTTTTTTTTTTTTTTGGGTGAGGCAAGTTTTTCGCATATCCTTCAATATCCCACGTTCATAGTACAAAGAAGTTAATAAAATTTGCAACTGCACTTCTGGGTCTTCCACGAGTCAAAGACAGTTTGAGTTCTTTTGGTCCAAGCAATTACTCGGTCATGTTTTTCTCTTCAGCTTTTTCTGCAAGAGTTGAAGAATATTATGGGCCCGTTTAGTTCACTGATTCGAGTTAAAATATGACTTTATGTGAGCTTTTTACTGTAGCAAAAAAATTAAATGTGACTGTTTCTGAGAGCTTTTTATTATAGCAAAACTCGAATTTTAAACTTGAATCGGTGAAATGAACAGGATATGGTGTATTCTAAAAAAATAATAATATTATTATTATTATGGAAAAAATCGATTAAACCTATATTGTGGCCATACCATGACATTATCCAACAAAATGATGATTAAATAAAAATTAAAAAGCTTCCCTCACATGACCATAAATGGGTGGAATGAATAATAATTATTGTTACTTTGACAAAATTACCCATCTTCTCATGTGA